AGATGTAACTAAATCCCCGAGTGATTTCTGTGTTTTTTTTATTTTTTATAAAAGATTATTTAATTAAACCTAAAAGGGAGAAGCAGGAAGGAAAGTGGGGGGTGGGTGGTGCCTTCGTGTTTGACTGAAATCCAACAAAAATAGACAATAAATAACCCAAAACCATCTGTCCTCGAGAGCCCAGGAGTCTATTATTTATTTATACAYAGAGCATGCAGCGGCTTTGTGTTTCCTGCGCTCCGCAGGGTGATGGCGCCTCACTTTGTTGATGGTAAACTCTCCCTCAAAGCGACAGCCTCCGCCCTGACTGAGAGGAATCTTCATGGAGTTGTCGATGTGACCGACCTCATGGCGGCCCATCTCATCCTGGATGTCCAAACCCACCACTGAAACAAAAACACAACAAACATGAAAGCTTATTACAAATACAGGAAAACAAACACACAAAAAAAACCACACACGTACAATTGAACCGTTTTATTCGCCTGCTGCTGAAAAGCCAAAGGTGGGCAATAATGTCTTTGTGTGCATCAGTTAGCAAAATATCTCCTGAGCCTCTGGACAGATTTAAATTAAACCTGCGACATTAGATGCTCGTCGGCAACCAGCCACTGCAGCTAATCAACCTTATTKAACACAAAAAACGGTTACAACACCCCCAAATTTTTCAACAATAACAAAATGTGACTTTTATTGAATGGTTTTATTTCATGTAACCTCCATCCTTATTTTTAGTTGAAGTGGACACTTAAACAACAAATCATGGCTTTGCCCTCATCATCATCATCATCATCATCAAGTTTATTTATAAAGCACATTTAAAAACAAGTTGTCACCAGAGTGCTGAACACAAGGCAAAGATCGATATAAAAAATGACATTCTTAAAAATATAAAAAATAAAACACCAACAATAAATACATAACTCACAATTAATCAAAAATCTGAGAGAACAGGTGTGTTTTTAATAAAGATTTAAAAACAGGAAGTGACGAGGCCTGTCTAACGTTGGGGGGTTGATTGTTCCAAAGCTTGGGAGCCACAGCTGAAAAAGCTCAATCTCCCCTCAGTTTCAGCCTGGTTTTAGGAATGGCCAAAAGCAGCTGATCAGAAGATTTTAGTGCCCGAGAAGGACTGTATGGTTGAAGTAGATCAGCGAGATAAGAGGGTGCGCTAGCCGCGAAACTGTCGAAATAAACATGTTTGTGTCGGGAACAAGGCCGGTGTTTGGACACAACAGTTGTAGGAAAATGTCAGTTTATAMAGAAGACTTTGGACTAAATGGTGAATTGGTCGAAGTGATAATAGGAAATGAGTCACACCTGCAGCTCAGATTTCACATTCAGTTAGAAGAAAAAGGCTGGAACTCGTGTGCAAAGTCAAAAAATAAAAAGTGGAAATTCTGGATCCTGCTGCAAGAGAGTCACTCACAGAGTCAACAAACAGCGTCCAAACATCACCCCCCGTTATTGCTGCCCTCTCTCTGTTGGTAATTTTCCATTGAGACTTCAGTGACACCCCCCCCCCACACACACACACACACACACACACACAGGCTGCCGTCTGTTGGCACACTGGCAGTGGCCTAATTTCTGAGCATGCCTGTGCTGACTGTCGGCCAGCAGCGCAAACAGGGAGGTGTCCTGAAACGTGTTCACTGTCTAACCTTTGGCATTCAAGGAAAGCTGACACCTCCCCCACCACCACCACCACCACCACCCGACACCCCTTCGCTCTGTCTCCCCAGGTTTCAAAATACAGTTGACAAATATAAGTGAAGAGCATTTGAGAGAGAGAGACCTCGAAGTCTCCTTTTAAGACTTTTAAGGTTGGAAAATGGGAGGAGGGGGGGGGGGCGTTGATTAACAGTGGCTGTTACATAAGCTTTCTCACTTGCTTTTCTGTGAAGTTGCAAATTAAAACACAAGCAACCTGTAAAGGTCAGTGGAGGGAGAAGATGTTTAAATCTGGTAAGCAAGGTGGATAAATAGCTGCGAACAGAACCGCCGAGGTTTCCATGACGAAACGGTTTCTCCCTTCAAATAAATTTACAAATGGATGACAGCCTGTTTGGAGGACCAGAATAAAAATGGGTTGATGACGATGATGATGATATTAACTTGAAAAGCTGAACAACAGTTCCGTGTGTGGTGAAACCAACAAAGGGTCGGTACAAAAAGAAGACCTCACAGTACATAAAAAATGACTCACAAACAAACAAATCCAACACATATTCAATCAAGGAGCTCTGTATTTATACACAACAGCCTGCTTGAAGTCTTAGAACACAGCTGCGGGTGGCTGTTGCAGAATCTTGTGGAGAAAAATGTGGGTTTAATAATCTCACACGCTTCCATTTTTGGATGTAAGCTGGGCTGAATAAGAGTCGTCTGTGTTGCTCAGGCCTGTGTGTGATTCTGTGATGGGCATAGTTTGTGAGGGGCGTCATGAGGAGAGAATAACCGCTGACTGCACCGGGTCCTGGCTCGCTTCAAGCTGCCTGCTCACTTCTCTGATATCAAAATACACCAGACGAGCCAGCTGAGGCAACTTCACCGTGAAGAAAAGCTGCAGCTGCGAAACAGCACGAGATTAATTTGGGACTGGTCTCATGTTCTCTTGTAGACTTCTCATGTAAGCACTGAAGCACCATTATTATTATTATTATTATTATTATTATTATTATTATTATTATTATTATTATCATCATCATCATTATCATCATTATTATTACCATCATTACATTATCATCATCATCATCTTCATCATCATCGTCGTCGTCATTATTATTACCATTATTATTATCATCATCATCACCACCATTATTATCATCATCATCATCATCGTTATTATTACCATTATCATTATCATTATCATCATTATTATTATCATTATCATCATCATCATCTTCGTTATTATTACCACCATTATCATCATCATCATCATCATCACCATCGTTATTATTACCATCATCACCATCATCATCATTATTATTATCATCATTATTACCATTATCATCATCATCATCATCATCATTATTACCATTATCATCATCATCATCGTTATTATTATCATTATTATTATCATCATCATTATTACCATTATCATCATCATTATTACCATTATCATCATCGTTATTATTACCATCTTTATCATCATCATCACCATCATTATCATCATCACCATTATTACCATCATTATCATCATCATCATCGTTATTATTACCATCATCATCATCATCGTTATTATTACACCATTATCACCATCATCGTTATTATTACCATCATCATCATCGTTATTACAATCATCATCATCGTTATTACAATCATCATCATCATCATTATTACCATCATCATCATCATCATCATTATTACCATCATCATCATCATCATCATTATTACCATCATCATCATCATCATTATTACCATCATCATCATCATCATCATTATTACCATCATCATCATCATCATTATTACCATCATCATCATTATTACCATCATCATCATTATTACCATCATCCCCATCACCATCATCATCACCACCATCATTATATTATTATTATTATTATTATTATTATTGTATTCACTTTGTCTATTAAAGTTTTCGTATGTCCTACATATTACTCCAATTCCAATAAGTATGGGTCTGACACAAAGCGTTCCTATACCACAGCACAAATATGGTTTTACAGGACCTCTCAGCTGAGCAGTCAGGTGGTAAAGAAGGAGCAATGTCAGCCATGTAGAGGCAGTGATCCATACGCCTCATCAGTTGGTGGCAGTAACGTAACATAAGGCTGTTTGACAACCAATAATAAACAAGAAGAAAAAGCTGTCGGGCATTTCAAAGTGAATGATTGAGCAGAAGACRGTCCTGGGAATACACAGACCTGAACCCAAGCTTCCTGACAATCTCACAGCTCAGTCCCTGGCAAGGCRATGAAGAGCTCTCTGCTAACCCTAACAGTCATCATTGAGGGGAACAAAAGACAGCTGAGCTAGGTAACCATGCTGGTGAGAGTATCAGCCAGAACATGACCCAGCTGGACTGGCTGCAGCCATCATTTTCCACCCTTTAAGAGAAGAGGAGGAGTGGACCTGACTAAAACTGACCGTGCTTATCAGAGTCTTCCACCATGGTCAACGATGAGCCTGAACAACTGCTCAACAAGCTGCTTAATGAGAAGCACCTGCCAACATGGTAGCATCGTAGAAAGGTTATGATGATGCTAAGCTAATGCTAGACTAAGGATTCAAAATAGTTATTTTTTGGTATTTCTTCTTTCAYGCTGGATGTCTTTACACTGTAAAACTCGCCATTGCTCAGTTGTTTTAATATTGTTTATATTTTAAATTATAACAGTGCTATTGAGTGTTGGGCAATAGAACAAATAGTTTTTAATCTCCATTATTCTAATTTAAAAGTGTTCGAAATTCTCAACACACCAACTAGAATGGAATAAATTTGAAATTGTAGGACATGTATGGCACTCTTTTAGCAATTGCATTGATACTCAACATTGGCAAGTACTAAAAGTACTTGTACTTGGTTTGAAAAAAATGTTGTATGGGTTCATCTTTAATAAATTACTGTAGAAACAAAAAAATACAAGCAACTTTCAGAGTGACAGATTTCTTTTAAGATGCAACTTGTTGGTTTCAGACTGATTTTGAGGCTTACTTTTTAGTTTGTTTCTCTATTTTATTTTTGGTTGGTTGTTTGCTGAAATACATCAGCATGTGGTTTCCATAAATTAAACATTTTATTTGATCTTGCTCATCTTTACACTTCTGGTACAGTTCATATATTAAACCGTTTCTCACTTTAGATTATTACATTAGTTTATTATGTGGGTAGTAGCTGAATTGGAAGCGTTTGAAATGTCTTCACAGATTTTCGAGCCTAATAAAAATGTGTAGACTCGGTCTATTAAAAAAGGAAAAAGAAACCCTTGATTGTGTTAAACAGAATAACACAGTGACATAGTAAGTTGTGTGAATTTAAATATACTCACAATCACAGTGCAAGTTTGGCAAACTGATGTTTAAACTCACTTCTATCTTCCCACCACTGTCTTTATCAGGATCATCCACATACAATTCATTTACACTGTAAAGAACAGAAAAAAAATAAAGTTAGACACACAAAAATCATTTAAAATAAAAAGGCTTTTCTCCTCCCAGTGCGTCATTTTCACACCCATTTTAACACACACGAACTCAACTTTTGACAAATTGCAATAAAAAAATCTTTTTTCTAAATTTTGGGAGTTTAATTTCCTTCCTTTTATGCCCCACCCAAAATCATGTCATCTCTTTATTACACAGTGCCAGGAGGCTGACGAAAGCACAAAGCCAATTTCCTGTGACAAAATTATCTGTTAGGCGGTTGTAACACTGCTCAGATAGAGCGCGTCATAATGAGGGCGCTTGACATACATTATTAACTCACGGTGTTTCAGTTACAGGATGCGGTGGTACCTACATTTCAGTGGCTATGAATCCTGTCAGCTCCGACAGAAAAAGGAAGAGGATGAAGACACAGCAGAGGATGGATACTGTGGGAAAAGAGGTGGAAAAGTCCTTTAAACTTCGGCTATATTAATCGCACATTACATCAGCTCGTCATAAAATGAAGCAAACCAAATGAACCAAAGCGAGACAGTATTTTTAGAATGACTGACCTCAGCTATTAACATTAACAAAATCGCAGGCAACATAAAAACATTTTTCCCCCCTCGACAGCGTTTTTATGGGCAGCGTTAGGCCCAGCTATTACGCAGGTTTTTAAAGACCATCCTACACTAATTACAGGTCGAATACCAGCACGGCAGGCAGCCGTTACGACAGCTTGTTTTGCAAACAGGTGATCTCATGTTCTTTTTTTTAATGAGTGCTGCAAAATCGGCTCATTGTTGGGCTTTAAAACAAATTTATTCAAACTCAGAATTACTCGTTTAATGAAACTTGTCAGAAAACCAAAATTGAAATATTAACCTTGACTTTAAGCTGTGTCAATAAAAAGTCTGAGCTTTAAAAGGAAAAGCAATCGGACTGTTTTATTTCATGTTTCAAACTGATATGCCAAAACTTGGAAAAAATACTAAGATGGCCATGCATTCCTTGACTTGATGTATATTGCCCACCACTTTTTACAGCAGTGTTAAACTAAAATCACCATTAAAGGGATCCTCGATTAGTTGTAACATTAGACTTTATTTGATAAACATATATTTTAATTGTAAAATAAAGACTGTAAAAATACTGTAGGTTGTTTAGTTTTGTAATTTTTTTAAAATATACTATGACACGAAGGGAGCCATTTTATTTACACATAAAGCATTCTGGGTAAACGATGACGTGGATAGGTCCTCGGTGTGAGTGAGCTATATCCACCCTGAAGGTTAATCTTGGACAATATCTGACGATCGTCTCTTTTAAATGAAACCAGAGAGCGTTGACAGAGAGGAGAAGGTAGAAATGACTCAGCCTGTAACTGAAAATATGGATGGAGGACAACAGAGCTGCTTCATGGAAGAAGAACCTCAGCTTAGCCTGTTAGCCTTTGCGCTGGTGCTGAAGCTATATTGCCTTATATGTATTAGTTCGATGCTAGCGCAACAAGCTAAATTGAGGTCCTCCATCCACTTTTTCAGTTACAGGCTGAATCATTTTTGTGTTCCCCTCTGTCATGTGGATGGAGGACCTCAGTGACGAGAGGAGAATGTGTAGCGCTGAGCTAATACATATACTGTATATGGTGATAGGGTCGGGGCTAACACTAAAGCTAACAGGCTAAGCTGAGGTTCTTCTTCCATGAAGCAGCTCTGTTTTCCTCCATCCATATTTTCAATTACAGGCTGAGTCATTTCTACCTTCTCCTCTCTGTCAACGCTCTCTGGTTTCATTTAAAAGAGTCGATCATCAGATATTGTCCAAGATTAAACTTCAGGACGGATATAGCTCACTAGCAGCTTTGCACCAATGACCTATCCACGTCATCATTTACCCAGAATGCTTTGTGTGTAAATAAAATGGCCCCGTTCGTGTAATATATTTTTAAACTTTTAGTTTAAAAAGGATAAAAACTAAACAGCCTACATTCTTTTTATACTCTTTATTTTACAGTTAAAATATGTTTATCAAATAAAGTCTACTGTTACAACTAATCATGGATCCCTTTAAAACCATTTTGGTCAAACCTTGTAAAAAAGATCAGTTGGCTGAGGCAGCCATTTTTAATTGGGTTGACTCTAAAATTTAACTAGTAGTAGATGTACAAACAGTAACTATTTCCTGAGAGTTTCATAAAAATCTATCGAGTGGTTCATGAAATAACAACAAACACACAGACGTAGACAACTTTTTGCCTCGGGCCAAGGACAGTAAATACAACAGGACCTGATGTGTGACTGTGGTCTTTCCGGTGTGGTAAGTTTTAACCAGCAGGTGAAGCATGTTTACTTGGCAACTGTCTCCCTGCACCTCATAAGCACATGACCCTGTGGTTGGCTGGGCGTTGTGGCCAAACCTGTCGCTGATGAAGRCATTACATAAGCTAATGTTTAACTACTAAACAGCAGGGAGTGGCACTATGACACATAGGTTGCCAATCCAGCTTCATCAAAAGACGAAGTAATTTTTCCCTGGCGTTTGAAGGTTAAACTGTTAAACTAAGACTTCTAAAGTTCAGAGTGATGAGCTAATAATGCCTTCAAAGTGCTTCACTGTGGAAATACTGACCAGCCAAATGATTTACTGAATAAATACTGAGTGACTTTTATTTACTTGAGCCGATACGGGGTGTAGTTCACACTTCTTCCTGAATGCAACAACAGCATTAAGGCAGGAAGTGATCCAAAACTAGACTTCTGTCATCAGAAGGGTTGTTTATTGTTAGTGCTGTATCAGTATTTATTCTTGGATACTTTTGGCTAGTCTCTAGATACATTAAGCTTTTAATAATTTTAGTTTTTAGCAATCATTCTGCTTCCTTTAGCTTAGGCAGCTCAGCCAATTTAATTACAATCTTAACATTTATCCTTTATTTTTTGCAAAAAAAACGCAATTTCTCTAGTTTTTCCTCCATCATATAAAATATTGTCCTCCATACCACAGTCAACAGTTAAACAAAATTACAAGACACCCAAAAATTGGGATTTCGGCAAATACTGGGAAACAGCATTTTGTAAATATCTTTTGAAATGCAGGACAACAATGTTCCAAGAAAAGCAAACCCAAACCGGATGGATTTGGCTTTTTGTTAAAAGTCTGTCTCTGATTATCTTGGAAATAATAACAGTGGTATAATATGTGAATGAATCCAAAGTCCAATCCCCCCAGACAGTGGATGGAGACAGGATGGGAGTCGACTGTGTTCAGGAAGGACTTCCATTCACCTCCTCTCCGGTGGAAACTGGTGTAAACTGGTGTTAGGTCGCTCTTCCTCCATCATCCATAAATATGTCGTTGTGAGCCATAAAGCAGCTCAGTTTATCAGCTGTGTCATCAGTTTTATTTTGGGCTGAAACTTAATTATTTCTTGTGCTCTCATCAGCTGACCGGTCAGACAACAAAATAACTGAGGCGCCAAAAATGTGTCATCAAGTATTTTTTTTATCTGCTGAGCAGTGAATAATCGATCCAATCCTTGATGACGCATTGATGACAAGTAGAAAAAGTGCATGACCGAACTGGAAAAAAGCAGTTAACTTGTCACTGATAGCTTCTCGGGAGCCTCGGGCGATGTAGGAACACGATCATTAACGTTCTCGCCTAACTAGTTGTTCTAAAACAAACACTGCTTTGCTCCAACACTGAGGGGGATGTACTTCTGTACCTCTGTGCATCTAAGGAGAACACCTAAATTAAAGCTGTCAAAGTCATGTTCCAGACTGTTCTTGATTAGCTCAAATTTTCCAGTTCAATCATTCTTTCCCTTTACGTTCCAATAAAAAGCATACGTGACAAAGTTGGAAGGTATTGCACATATGTTCTGTGACTCTACTAGGACTTTACGTTTATCTCACCTCTGTTTGAAGAGAAAGAAAAATGTGGAGTAAAATTTAGAGGGATCCAAATACAGTGGGGTGCGAAAGTTTGGGCAGCCTTGTTAATTTTCCTGATTTACATTTATAAATCATTGATTGTTTAGATAAAAAATATCAGTTAAATATATCATATAGGGTACAAACAGTTATATTTAACAAGTGAAATGAAGTTTCTATGATTTACAGAAAGTGTGCAATAATTGGTTAAACAAAATTAGGCAGGTGCATAAATTTGGGCACTGTTGTCATTTTATTGATTTCAAAACATTTAGAATTAATTATTTGAACTTAAATTTGTTTGGTAAGTTCAGTACATAGGTGACTCCAATTATGAGAAAGGATATTTAAGGGAGGCAATTGTAAGTTTTTCTCCTCCTTGCATCTTCTCTGAAGAGTCGCAGCATGGGAGTCTCAAAACAACTTTCAAATGAGCTGAAAACAAAGATTGTTCAYCGTCATGGTTTAGGGGAAGGATACAGAAAGCTATCTCAGAGATTTCAGCTTTCAGTCTCCACTGTGAGAAACATTGTGAGAAAATGGAAGACCACAGGCACAGTTCAAGCCAAGGATCGAAGTGGCAGACCAAKAAAAATCTCCAATAAACAGAAGTGAAGGATGTTGAGAACAGTCAGAGTCAACCCACAGACCAGCACCAAAGACCTACAACATCATCTTGCTGCTGATGGAGTCACTGTGCATCGTTCA